TTATTATTAATTAATTAATTAATTAATTAAGGTCTTAAATTTTTATTTCTTTTGAAAATATTTTTTATTATACGGGAAGGAGAAGTGGAATTGTGGGAACCACCACCTCGTATATGATAATTTCAAAATATTGCACTAAATCCACATGAATTCTATATCAAATGAAAGTTTTCAAAAAAAAAAATTGAATTATATAAAAATCTATAAAAGTTTTAAAATGAAAGTTTATAGAAGTTTACAAAAAATTTCTGCTAATTCCATACAAATTTATAAAAAAATCTATGAAATTCACAGAAGTCTTCATTTAAAAAAAAACTAGAGTTATAACATCCAATCTATGTGTCATTGAATGATAAGTTGAATGAATAAGTCATTTAATTACAATTTTCATTTAACATATTATTTAGTGTCACATTAGCGACACATGGACCGGGGTTATAATCTTAATGTGGCTAAATAACATTATTCTTATTATTAACCACACATTCATACAATAAAATATTCCGAACGTAAATTTAAAATATTTTTCTACTTTTAAACCACACAGTCTACTAAAACACTATTCAAAACATTATTTTTCTCAAATAATTGCCATCAAACAGGAATTAGAGGGTCCAAAAATATTTAGGGAAAATTAGACCATGTACGGCCCTTTTAAAACAATTTCCGGATACAATATTCATCTGTTTTTTCAGTTTTATAGCATATTCAAGAAATTTTTATTTCTCCATTTTAAAAAGTCAAGACTTAAAAATAAGTTTCAACTTTTAAGAGACTCTTTATTTAACTTTTAAAAATAGAGAGTGTGTTTATCTCTCTAAATTTAGACCCACTCTCTATTTTTGTACATTAATTTCATTTAATAAGCTACAAATTTCAGTACTTCACTATTTAAATTATGCAACTCTAGTCTAAGTGGGTGGAGTTCAATTAAGGATGGAAAATAGTCGAATAGCTCGTTGGCTTAACTCATCAAAACTCGACTCATGGACGGCTCGAACCTCGAACTCATTTCGGGACGAGCCGAGCCCTGCTAAATGGTTCGTAGGCCTTGCCCACAAGCCTGAAGTTCACGAGTCAAACTGATCGCGTAGGTTCGTAAAAAATGTGAACAAAAAAGTAAAAAAAAATTAAAATTAAAGTTAAGAAAAAAAAACTCGAGCTCATGGGCTCAACTCGAGCTTGACCTCGGCTAGTCATTTTGACGAGCCGAGCTCGTGGGTAGATGGGACGAGCCGGCTCAACTCAACCAATTGCTACCACTAAGTTCAATAGGAACAAGTTCTAGGAAAAAGACTATCAAAGCACCTACTACTTCCAGCGCAGTTGCCATACTTTTTAACACTAACATATTTTGTAATTGTTTTAGTCACTTAAGGATGTTTTTGTCTTTTTACAGCAAATGGGTCATTTTGGGATAATTGCCAATTGTAAAAGTCAAAGTGGAATTATGGGGTTTTGATTGGGTCATTTTTACAAAAACCCCTTTAGTCTAAAACGTTGGGTCGTAAAGCATACCCGGTTAGGTGTGCGTATCGTACACACCCCGGGTCAGTTACCGGGTATGTTTGAATGTATTCGGCCTTTCAATTGAGTATTGGTGACGAAGGGGTGCATTGAATTGAGATTTTTAATTATTTTTTGGAATTTAAAATGATTAGGGTATTCGATGTATAGTTTTGGAGACTTTCTAAAAGTATCGATATATTCAAGGTTATACGATTAAATTTTTTTTGAAGTCTATATAAATCTCAAAGTATTCAAATTTTAATGACTTTTAGAATTTTTATAAAAGTGTTCATGGTGCTAACTTTTAAACAGAATGTGCTAAAATAAAAACTCAAAATTTGTCTCTCATTGATCACAAGATTTTGGAAAACTTTCACAAAAAAATTAATATGTATTTTTTTTTCAATATTTCTCTTTTCTTTTTCCTCCTACGAACGTTGGAGTTATGATTAAAATTTACTTTGTTTCTTTTAATTATATTAGTTTTTATTTTTTTTCTCTCTATCTCTCTCTCTCTCTCTTATTGTTTATTTTTATTTTCTGCGAAAAAAATTAAATTGAATTCTTTTAACTTTTTTTTTCTTTTTTCATTCATTTTTTTTTTTGTGAAAAAATATCTATTTTTAATTAAATTATAAAATTTTATATAGACTATTTTAAAATTAAATTTAAATATATTAAATTTTTTATTTATTTTGTAATATTATATTAATAATACTAAATAATAAATTTATTTTTTATATGTATTGTTATTATTGTTATTTAATTAATTAAGGTCTTAAATTTTTATTTCATTTGAAAATATTTTTTATTATACGGGGAGAAGAAGTGGAATTGTGGAAACCATCACCTCGTATATGATAATTTCAAATTATTGCACTAGATCCTCATGAATTCTATTTCAAATGAAAATTTTCAAAAAATCTTTTGAATTATATAAAAATCTATAAAAGTTTTAAAATGAAAGTTTATAGAAGTCTACAAAAAACTTTCACTAATTCCATACAAATTTATAAAAAAATCTACAAAATTCACATAAGTCATCATTTAAAAAAACTAAAGTTATAACATCCAATCTATGTGTCATTGAATGATAAGTTGAATGAATCATTTAGAGCTTGTTTGGTACAAATTAAAATCAGATTTTAATTTAAATCAAAATCAAACAATCAATATTAACCACATCTTTCATGGGTCCCACAATATTTCAACTACACATTTCAAAAGTTTCTATCAAAATCTACTAAAAATCTAATTTTAATCCCCACCAAACACCTCCTTAATTACCCTTTTTATTTAACATATTATTTAGTGTCACATTAGCGACACATGGACTGGGGGTTATAATCTTAGTGTGGCTAAATACAATTATTCTTATTTTTAACCACACATTCAAGCAATAAAATTTTCTGAACGTAAATTTAAAATATTTTTCTACTTTTAAACCACACAATCAACTAAAAACACTATTATTTTTCTCAAATAATTGTCATCAAACAGGAATTAGAGGGTCCAAAAATATTTAGGGAAAATTAGACCATGTACGGCGCTTTTAAAACAATTTCTAGATACAATATTCATCTGTTTTTTTTTAGTTTTAGAGCATATTCAAGAAATTTTTATTTTTCCATTTTAAAAAGTCAAGACTTAAAAATAAGTTTCAACTTTTAAGAGACTCTTTATTTAAGTTTTAAAAATAGAGAGTGTGTTTATCTCTCTAAATTTAGACTCACTCTCTATTTCTATACATTAATTTCATTCAATAAGCTACAAATTTCAATACTTCACTATTTAAAGTATGCAACTCTAGTCTAAGTGGGTGGAGTTCAATTAAGATGGAAAATGGTCGAATAGCTCGTTGGCTCGACTCATCAAAACTCGACTCATGGACGGCTCGAACTCGTTTTGGGACGAGCCGAGCCCAGCTAATTGGTTCGTAGGCCTTGCCCACAAGCCTAAAGTTCACGAGTCGAACTGATCGCGTAGGTTCGTAAAAAATGTGAACAAAAAAGTAAAAAATAAAAATAAAATTAAAGTTAAGAAAAAAAACTCGAGCTCATGGGCTCGACTCGAGCTTGACCTCGGCTAGTCATTTTGACGAGCCGACCTCGTGGGTAGATGGGTCGAACTGGCTCGACTCAGCCAACTACTACTACTAAGTTCAATAGGAACAAGTTCTAGGAAGAAGACTATCAAAGCAACTACTACTTCCAGCGCAGTTGCCATGGAAAAGAAAGCCAAGTGGATCCTGTTAAGGTCCATCTTCCTGATCAAAATAATTTGGGCATGTAGTACTATTTCTATTAGAATCAAGGTTCGAATCACATTTGAATTTATTGATCGTTGACATATAGAAAAATATTTTAAATAAAACACCAGGAGAAATTAATAAATGTTCATTGAAAAACAAAATGAAGAGTCATTATTAGAGTGTATAAAATTTTTTACTTTCTAAATTTAAATATACTATATATTATACATAAGAGTACTCTTTATAATAGAGAGCCTCTTATATACTTTAATATTGTAAAATCTAAGTGCTTGTTTTGTTTAATTTTCAATCTTCAGTTTTGAATTTTTTTTTTCTTTTTTTCTTCTAGTGTCTATTTTATGATTGCTAAAAATGTGTTTTATTTTTCATTTTGAAAAATTATTTCTCAAATAGAAAATTAGAAAACATGTTTAGTTTGGATTTTGAGAAATTGCTTTATAACATTTTTTTTTTTCATAAAATTTGATTATTCAGTAAAATAATATAAATTTTATGTTCATAAATTATCAAGCAATAGATATATAATAAAAATAAGTATATTAAGGTTGGTGATTCTTACAATTTTTTTCGCCTAAAAAAGTATAATAAAAATAAGTAATTAATCGAGTTGGCAAAACGCATAAAATAAAATTAACGACATGGACCAAAAATTTTATTAGTGGTTTTTTCATTTTTTTTCAGAATTTTAGATTTTTTAAAATTTTGTAATTTTATTTTTAGAAGTGGTAATTTTTAGATTTTTATTTAAATAAAAATTTATTTAAACTTGTTTTGAAGGTTTTCACTAAAAACGCTGAAAACGTTAAAAATGCATTTTGAGTTTTATGTTATAAACTTAATTTGTTTCGAAAATACATGTTAAAAAAATACCAAATCAAACAAATTATGGATGTTTTACAAAATTAAAAATCGAAAACAGTAAATCAATCGCACTCTAGTCCTTTCCCATTACAAAGATCTGAATTGTTTTCTCAAACTTATTTTTAATCATCTTCACTTAATAAAATAAGGGATAACTATAGTTGTGATCCGAATCCTTTAATTTTTTTTTATGAATTTTACCCTAGCCTTATATTTGTTGTAGAGTCGGTCTCAAACATTTCATTTTCGTGCAACGGAAGGACATTTGGACGCTTTCAACAACAATTAGTATAATTAACCCTTATGGATGACATCTTTCTCAATTGGGTAATGCTACATGTACACACACACTTTTACACAATCTTTTACACATCTCTCACATGGAGGGGGGTCCACGATTATTTTATTATATGTGGGTCCCCTTCCATGTGAGAGAGGTGTAAAAAATTGTGTACACTTAGCATTATTCTTCTCAATTTTACCAACATTTGCCACCTACTGAAAACAAGGAATTTAGTTCAATTTAATGATTTACAGCCAAACACATTGTTTGTGTCATGACAAACACAATTACAAACGTCTGTTCAAATTACACGTGCTGAAATTCTAACAATACAAATTATATAATTAAATTCAATGATCAACTAAAATTAAACAAGTCCAAATCAAATATTGCATAAGCATGCTAGATCCTAACGGCAAAATTGAAATTAACGTACCCCTAGTTGGTTTGGCTAAAAATTATATTTTTTTAGTAAATTTTGATAAAAAAATAATAAAATGTGATTGTCTAAAGTTGATTATGGTAGTGTGTCCAATAAAACATATAGTTAAAAATGAGTTTGTAGAAATTAGGATCAAACGATACGAAATATTAAGTACTCAGTACTCACTATCACAATTTAGTTGATATGTAATAAAAAATTGAAACTCATTATCTGATTGAGACACAAACATGGATAAATAAGATGCATAATGTTATATCCATAAACGTGGTATACCAGTGGTTGAAGGGATCCCACATTGTCGATTGGATTTGACCGATCGAAGTAACCTCTTCTTGAGCTTGAGTCTAGTTTACTAATTCTCATCTTGACCCATTTCCCTCCCTCCATATATAAGTAAACCCATTTTATAATAAGATATGATTTTTCTAAATCCTTTGTCAAATCTCCTCACCTCTCTATCGTGTACAGACTCATTCTTGTTCTGATAGTTGATTTGACCGTTGAAATGAAAACAGTCATCGAACTTTTTTTTCGACGACGCCTTTGTACTCTAGCCTTTGTGTTCTAGCATGCAATGAATACATATGTGAACAGGGTAGATGGTCGAAATTCTATTAACCACTCGAAGCAATACATATAAATAGAACCAACAAAGCTGCTATGCTATCAGGGAGGAATTGACAGCCTCTCTGACAGCACACTCACAATAGGAGGGAGCACTTTTTAAGAATTTTTTATTCACATGAATCTCATGCGGGTTCCCCTCCCACGAAATTATATTTTAATTAGAGTGGCAAATTTTTTCTGACAAAAAAGAAAAAAAAATTAATTCTAGAACCAAATGGTGGCATCTGCTGCAAATTGACCCACAATTTTCTCCGTCACTATCATCCACCTCCTTGCAACACTAAAGTCAAATACGTCTATTTCATTCTAACACGAAAAAGTCGCGGGATTTGAAAAAATTGTTTCACATTTGATTTTGACGAATAGTTATGGTAGACAATTTGATGTCTAAAAAGTAGTTTTTAAAATTCATTTTTCTTCAAACATATTTTCAAGAACATATTTTTCCAAATAAAATTTCTCAATTTTTTAAAATACATTCTTTCAAAATATTTACTTTTTGCAAAATTTATTCTAAAAAAGGGGATTCAAGTAAGGACTTAATTATATTACAGTCGATCTCACTTTTTCAAACACGCTACTATCGTGCAAGTATTTCGTGCATATTTATTTTTAATTGATTTAAACGCTTATAATTTGCGAATATGTTAATAATGGCTATTGAGTGGATATTCGATTATTCAACTCTAGCAATAATGATGTTATTTATTTAGTCCCTATTTTTCTCCCCGTTAAAACAAAAAAAATTTAATTCTCGTACTCATTGTCCAACCAAACATTCACAAAACAAAATATTTTATTCTTGAACTCAATTTTTTTCCCTACTTTTTAACTGCATATTCTCTAAAAAATGACTATTCAAAACATCATTTTTTTTTTTTCAAAATAACGATCATCAAACCGGGGCTTAGTTATGTTTGGTCAAGTCAAAAAATTATATTAAAATTTAAGTCAAAGTCCAAATTGATATCTACTCGAAGCGGATTGGTCAGGTCTCTAAAAGCGGAGACAGGAGCTCTACCCTAGAGACGATCCTTAGACGTGATGTGGAGGAGGAGAGCGGGTATGAGGGCTCCTTCTGCCCATTCTCCGACAAAAGACCTAGTTTGATGGATGTCGTGGATGGCCTAAACTCTGGTTTCCATTTGCTAATTCACAACTTTTCAACTGTACATTTCATTAACTTTATAAAAAAACTACTAAAAATTGATTTTTATCTAAATCAAACAATAGCTTGGTTTCATTCTCGCCAAGACTAATACAAAGAATTCCATCAGAATTCAAATTTAATCATGTCCCCTTTATACAAAAGATCACACACGTTTGATTCTATTGTTGGTTCAAGTTAACATAGCTGAAATGCAATTAACAAACTCAAAATCCCTTTTTAAATATACTAGATGTGCCGTGTGATGGAACCTAATTGAGTGACAAGGATCGATCAAGAACTCGTTGATTTCGACGGAAAAACATCAAGAGAATGATCAAATAAATTGGAACAAACCAATCTGTAATTTAAAGTGTCGATCAAAGGCAGGAGTAACACATAAGAGCCAAACTAAGGAAAATAAATAAAATTGAGGCGAAACGACTAAAACTGAAAATCTGTCGAGTCGTCTAGTCCTCAAACTGATGCGCTAATCATTCGTCGTGTCGTGCCCATCCTCCAGCCATGAGATACTTGATTATTTACGCGATCTTCTTTTGCTTGATTTTGTGTGATGATATTGCTCCATAAATATATATACCAAATATTTATATGCATCATCCTTGTGTCTTTTTATTCAACTTAGATATGAAATCATTAATATTTGTATCAGAAGTACCACCCTCAGACACTGCCTCCTTAGCCAAATCCTTCCATTTACTAGCGGATTTCTTCATTTCCTTTCCCTTTTCACCCTCCATTACTTCCCTTAAACAACCCTCAATTTCTTCTCTCCCAACTATTCCATTTTCATCAACTTTCACCCTTAATCCCACATTCCAAACATCCTCCACAAGCTTAGCATTCGTCGTTTGATCAGTCCATTGTGGCATAACCACCATTGGCACCGCCATGCTCAATGCTTCAATCGTCGAATTCCATCCCCCGTGCGAAAAAAAACACCCCAAGGCTTTGTTTGACAATACTTTTAGCTGTGGACTCCAAGTAACAAACAAACCCTTATCGTCTTTGACAAAATTTTTAGGGAGTTTTTCTTGGTCAGAAGCCTTAGCTACCCATAAGAAGTTGAAATTGCTGTTTTTTAAGCCCATTGCAATTTCCTCCATTTGCTTTTCTGAGAGAGAGGCCATGCTACCAAATGCTATGTAAACGACGGATCCTGCCGGCTTAGAGTCAAGCCAATTAATGCAGTTTGATGAAACATCTAATTCGAAGAGGTTGAGTTCATAATTGTCGTCATTTTCGACTCGATTATCCAGATAGAAAGATGGAACTGTTGGTCCTATTGTTAACATCGGACACACTTCTTCCATTGCATCATTCACCTGCCAAAACGAAACACTTTCTACTTAGATGGTTTAACAAATTAAGCAATGAAAAAAATGATTTCAGGGCATGTTCCGCGTTCAGTACTACAATCCACCTTACCAAACAAGTCATAAAAAATGGATTAATAACCATTCTTGGAATAGTGACTTACTTTTTCCTCTAACTTGTAATACGAATTAACAAGCAAAAGATCAGCCTTGTCGACATTTAAAAATTGGTTCAACACCATTTGGAAGTAACTTGGATAAGATCCATATACATAAATAAACGACGGCATATCAGGCAGACGAAGGGGCGGAAGTCCAGGAATCTCGACTGGCAGAGTCGAAACAGGCAGCGTCAACAACCCATGATGCACATAATAGTACACATAATTAACAGCACTAGCCTGTGTGAAGAAACAGGCTCCAAGAATGCCAAACTCTTTGGCCACATCCAAAGCCCAAGGCAAAAATGAATCATAAACAATACAATCAATAGGATGGTTTGACTTTTGGTACTTCTCAATGAGTTCTGCCACTGTTTTGGAGCCTGCTTTCTCCAAACGCTCCAGATATTTGTCGACATCACCGGCTTGCGCGAAACCACCTTCGTCGTAACCATCGGAAAACGTGTCGATGGCTACCGTGTCGGATTTCGGGCTGTTAGATTTGGAAATATAGTTGGTGATGGCTAAAGTGGCCTTTGTTCCTTTGGAGACTAATCTCTTGCAGAATTGGCACATGGGATTTACATGGCCTTGGCTTGGATAAGGAAGTGCCAAAACATGAACTCCATAGGCCTTGCTTTGCTGTTCCATTATCGATCGCAGGCTTTGAACTCGAACTCAATCTTGTGGCTTGTGCGTGTTTATCTATATAACATAAACATAAAGAATTGCTGACGATTATTACATGTTGATCACACAATTGGACTTGAGTAATGCTATTCATCCCCATTGAGGATGAAAAAACATTCTACGTGGCGTCAATGTGACATTAAATGATAGGTGAAATTAAATCAGTCATTTAATTTCACTTTTCATTTAACCTATCATTTAAAGACACATAGACTATGTTTCCATCCCCACTGAGGATGAATAACCTTACTCATTGGACTTGGAATAGCTATTATGGATATCGTGGCTTTCAATGCTTTGGCTAATTCTATAATACTTGGTCAACTTTGGAGTTATTGATAAGAAACAAATGCTACACGAATATTGAGGTCTGAATTTAGAGCGCTGCAAAAGTTAGGTAAAATGGGCCATTTTCAATAATCAAGTCCCTCAGCCCCACGACAGAGAAAAATGCATTTTTAAATAGTAATTTTTGAAGAATATATGATTAAAAATTTAGAATAAGTTTTTGATTTACATATAATATTATTTTATTGGAGAAGAGAAATGATATTCATCCCCACTGAGGATGCATCCCTAGTCTATGTGGCGTTAATATGACATTAAATGATAGGTGAAATTAAATAAGTCACTTAATTTCACCTATCATTTACATCTGCATAGATTGGGAATGCATCACTGGGGATGAATAACATTTTTCCTTGGAGAATGTGCGCCTTAAATGAGTTTTGAAAAGAGTAATGAAGTTTAGTCTCACTGGGTTTGCAATCTCAATCCACGTGGCATTGCTCGACATTAAATGGTGAGTGGGATGAAATTATTTATTTAATTTCACCTTTCATTTAGCATATCATCTAATGCCACCTCAAATGAGATTGCAACTCAAGTAAGTCTACATATCATTATTCTTTTGGAAAAATTATTTTTTTAAAAAAAATGAGGCTCATGCAACCCCTAAAGTTCGTGAATTGTAGTGTTCTTGTTTCACAGGGAACAAACACAATGCAAATGTAGGTCTTTAGACTTTGAATACCTTGATTATATGAACATTAGACAAAAATTGTGACGAATGGACTGAAAGGGTCCGCAGTCATTGTAACGCCCACATCTCGTGTTTAAGTCGTTATGTTATATGTATTGTCCATTTTGGAAGAGTTTAAATCCATCTTATCCATCAAGAATTTTTATCCCTCATCAAAGATTCGAAATTCAAGATATATGCCTTATGAGAGAATTAAGTCATATTCGTCTACCGTGCTTTTTGTAACTATTGGGGCCTCATGCCAAAACTATTATATCGCATGTACTTTGTTTTGAGAGGATTTAAGCGCACTTACATCTCATAGCTTCGTATACGTTTATCAGGATTCGGACACGACTTTTGTCTAATACCAAGATTCAACTTTAGTTTTTCATAAGGCAGATGCTTTGGATTCGAATCTTGGACGACGCGATAGAAAGATTGAGGGGTAAATGGACTTGGGTTCTCCTAAAGCGAATAGTATGTATGATATATCGATTTGAATATAGAGACTGGGTCATTACAAAAAATGCATATTTTTTGGTACAAAATCTATATCTTATGAAAGACTATAATTGAGTCCTGGTATCCAATTGTTCGATCACATATTAATAGCTCGTGAATTACATTTGTTGTTTGATAAGGAGAACGACGTGAATTAATTCAAGTTATAACATGGTCAACTATCAATGTTGACTAGTAAGTTCATAATCAATGACCTGAGGCAAAACTCAATTTCATTTAGAGTTGGTCAAGTCCTCTGGCACCTCGAGCTTGATCGTAGTTCAGTGCATAGAAATCACGTGTCATACAACGGTCATGGTGTCAAGAGACACCACATCCTATAATCTCTCAGAGTTTGTATGAATGGATAAGGACATTCGTCTCTCGTACGTAACATACATACATACATACATGTTCGTAGAAGGATGATCCGATGATGCTCATATACATCTCTCCTGGACACTCTTTACATTCTTCAATTTTTACATTCCATACACTATTTTCTCTTCATACTTTTTGCCTTCAGTACCGAAGTGAAACTGTGAATATACGACATTTCAAGTACCTGAATGCTCTACCACAATCGTCTATGGAGAAGTAAAAACTCATCTATCATTCGTTAGAATTGTGAGAAGTGTTTAATCAAATAGTTTACATGTAAGAATTGGAATAATTTTCAAAATGGTGCAATGAATCGATACGACTCTTGAAGTGACATAGGTATGTATTGAAGAGTCATGGACTTCCAGAGATGATGCAATATGATAATTAGATCTTGTCTCAATCTGAAATGGTGTGAGCTAATAGTATAGATTGACATTGCCAAAAAGGTAAAACAATTGAGAATAGACACATTGAAATATATAGATTGGACCCATTTCATGCCCTTTTTTTCATCCTTTATCAGTTCAAACTCTTTTCTTTTCTCTACAAATACTACGTTCTCATAATTTAGAATTTCTCGAGTCTTCAAAACTTCAAAATAATTCCGATGAAGAAAAGTACAACCAACTATGATTCGAAATTCAAGGTCAATATTGTATTGTATTATTTTTTCGAAAGAAATGTTATATCTTATAGTCATCTTGAAATTTAGTTAGAACTAGTGCAATGAGAAAACTCTTTTCTTACGGAGATTGCATATCTCGTTTCAATTTAATCTCTATTTTTGTTTTCTTCTTTAGATTGTCTTAGATCGTCTGCAATTCCGACTAGAGGAGGATGGCTTGGCATTGCCAGAGATTGGAATTGAATCACATTTCCACAATTAGAATTAAAGTTTAATTCTCTACACCCACGTTGATGTTACTAGAGGTGGCAATGAGCCAAGCCTAGCCGGCTTGGCCCTAATTAGCATGAGCTCCTGCCTCGTTAGTAACAAGCTGAGCACAAGCTCAACTCTTAACTAAACGAGCAAGCTCGGCTCGGGAGCTTCTTCTTCTTTTTTTTTTTAAATTGAGCCCTCATCCTTTATTCGGATTCGGGATCGACTACTTAAATTTTGAGTGGCGGTGTTAAAAATTGTACACGAACAACTTGTTTCGTATACAAATTTTTTTGAAATTTGAAACGGTATTATAAAATAACAAATTTTGATTAATATGGTTAAATTAAATATCACTTACCTGACGACATGCAATTTCGACATATTTATCTTGTAAACGAAAATGAGCGTCTTTCCAATCTTTTACGCATATTAATGTTTTCAATATATCTTCTTTGAGTCGGTTCTTGGTATTGGACAAAACCCTCTTACATGTACTAAAAATAGATTCTGAAGCTATAGTACTAGCCGGAGGTGTTAATAAGTCTTTTGCAATCGCAGAAACCACTGGCCATCATCATTCATACATTCGCCATAATTTAACTACTTATTCTGAACTTTTTTTAGTTGTTTTTATGATTAAAGTAATCAATTAATTCAGCAGACAATGCATTTGAACTTGTGTTCGATGTTTGATCACATGAGGTAGAAAAATGAATACTAGATGAACTTATTTTGCATATGAATTATATTTATACGTGTTAATGCCTTCAAATAAAGTTAATATTTCAACATCTTCTTCTTCAATATCAGTGGGAGGAATAGGTGCAGATGGTGCCTGACTAGTATTTGCAATCATCCGTTTTGCATATATTTCATACATTTCACATAAGTTTGTTCTAAATTTCTATAAGTGATATGTGTATTAAAAGTTAAAGCTCTTGAAATCTGTTCAATTATATATTTAATACCTGATAAATTGTATCGAGGGTCCATAATGCATACTAAAGGAAATAACATAGGCAAGTCTTCCCAATATTTTCTGAACTTTAATTCCATGGAATATATAATTATACCAAAATTGGAGTCATTTTTATATTTATGAAAGACCCCTGTAATTATATAAAAACGTTCAAATACCATACAACTAGTGGGAAAGTAAACTCTAGATAAAATATTTGTTAAGTCATTAAAACTTGTCAAAAAAAAAAAATTTAATTTTAAAAGCTCAAATCCAATCATTTTCATGCAAAATAGTTTCATCATTGTTTCTAATTTGCTTAGTATTATAAAATTCAGTTATTAAATGTTCAAAACATTCGCATGATTTTAATAATAAATAAGTAGAGTTTCATCTATACCCTACGTCACTAACTAATTTTTTCATAATCGTCACCCCAAATTTCGCACAAAATTCCTTAAATGCTTGTTTTTTACTAGGTGAAATAGTAATATACATTAGTGCATCCTTAATTCATTGAATTTCATTATTAGTATGCCTCAAACCATCCGTCACAATTAAATTAAAAAGATGGCACACAACGAATATGAAACAAATAATCAACGAAATAAGGCTGCCATACCCTCCACAATTTGTCAATAACTATATTATTAACACTAGCGTTGTCGAATGTAAATTAATGAATTTTACTCTGACAACGATATTCTCTAATAATGTTCATAATAGCGTTATATATATTGTTAGCGTTGTGTGTGAATTCAATAATTTTAAAAAATAATAATTTTTTTATACAAATACCAAAATGGGTTTATGTAGTGTGCAGTTGCAGTTATATAAGCTCTTTTATTAATCAATTTCCATATATCCAAAATTAAAGATATAACACCCTCATATTTTTTGTAAATCGATAATTAATTGTTTCTTTGTATTAAAAAAATATTCAATTGTATCTGAACGAAGAGTATTTCGACTTATCCAAATGTACCTCGGTTAAAGATATTTTTCACGTATGCAACGAAATGTTGATTGTCCGCTATTACTAGAGGCAACTCAGCGTGGCAATGAATTTCACTATTCCCGTTCAAGCTTTCTCCTCCAAATATATTCACGTAGAAAGTGGCGAAGAAGTAGAATCGACGCCTGGACTACCAAATTGCAGTTGTGTTTGATGGCAACAAGAAGCCCATGTTTGGCTGCACATGCTTTGTAGT